TTTCCTTAGGATGAGCCATTATCTTCCTCAATTCCTGGTTTTTTCCCTTTTATCCTCCTCAATCTCCATTTTCCTCAATCTGTTTTCCTCAATTTCTTTCCCTCAATTTTTATTTTTTTCCCATTTATTTTTAGAAATCCCATTTCCCTTTCTCAATCACAATTTTCCCCCACCCTGTTTTCTCCCCTCAATCCTATTTTTCCCTCCTAAATCCCATTTTTTCCTCGTTTTCCCCCCATTTTCCTTCCTAAATCCCATTTTTCTCTCTCTTTCCTCCTAAATCCCATTTTTCTGTCTTTCCTCCTAAATCCCATTTTTCTCTCTCTTTCCTCCTAAATCCCCTTTTATTTCTTATTTTCCCCCATTTTCCTTCCTAAATCCCATTTTTCCCCCTAAATCCCATTTTCCTTTTTTTACCTCTTAAATCCCAGTTTTTCCCCATTTCCCTTCCTAAATCCCATTTTCCTCCAGTTTTTCCTTCTCAATCCCATTTTTCTCCCATTTCCCTTTCTCAATCCCAATTTTCCCCCACCCTGTTTTCTCCCCTCAATCCTATTTTTCCATTTTTCCCTGCTAAATCCCTTTTCCCCCCCCATTTTTCTTCATTTGCCTTCCTAAATCCCATTTTTCTCTCTCTTTCCTCCTAAATCCCATTTTTCTGTCTTTCCTCCTAAATCCAATTTTTTTTCCTCATTTCCCTCCCATTTTCCTTCATAAATCCCATTTCTCCCCTTGTTTTTCCCCCTAAATCCCATTTTCCTTTTATTACCTGCTAAATCCCAGTTTTTCCCCATTTCCCTTGCTAAATTCCTTTTTCCCCCCATTTTTCTTCATTTTCCTTCCTAAATCCCATTTTTCTCTCTCTTTCCTCCTAAATCCCATTTTTTCCTCGTTTTCCCCCCATTTTCCTTCCTAAATCCCATTTTTCCCCCTAAATCCCATTTTTCTTTTTTTACCTCCTAAATCCCAGTTTTTCCCCATTTTCCTTCCTAAATCCCATTCTCCCCTCGTTTTTCCCCTTAAATCCCATTTTCCTCCAATTTTTCCTCCTCAATCCCATTTTTCTCCCATTTCCCCTTCTCTATCACAATTTTCCCCCATTTCCCCTCATAAATTCAATTTTTCCCCC